AGGGGGCCAGCCACGGCTTCTCTGGGCAGCCTGTGCCCGTGCCTCTCCACCCTCATCGTAAAGAATTTCTTCCTTGTATCTAATCTAAATCTACCCTCTTTCAGTCTAAAGCCATCACCCCTTGTCCTGTCGCTCCAGGCCCTTGTAAAAAGTCCCTCTGCAGCTTTCTTGTAGGCCTCTTCAGGTCCTGGCAGGCTGCTGTAAGGTCTCCCTGGAGCCTTCTCTTCTCCAGGCTGAACAGCCCCAACTCTCAGCCTTTCCTCACAGCAGAGGTGCTCCAGCCCTCTGAGATCAAATTTGTGGCCTCCTCTGGCCCCACTCCAACAGGTCCGTGCCTGTCCTGTGCTGAGGGCTCCAGAGCTGGATGCAGGACTCCCAGGGGGGTCTCAGCAGAGCAGAGGAGCAGAATCCCCTCCCTTCCAATCAAGCTGCTGGCCACGCTGCTGGGGACGCAGCCCTTATGTTCTGTTGTTTAGCAAGGCATGTGCCTATTTTTCCTGTATACTCAAGCTTTCTGTGGTGAAATAAGCCCAAGTCCAGAGGCTGTTTTCTAATGTAAAGAAAACCTAAAGAGAAATGGTTTGGCTTTTTTTTTTTTTAACTAGCACGCTTTCATCTAAGTGAGCTTTATTCGAACTTAAGGGAGAAAACAATTTATACTCTCACCTAATAGCTTAGTAATAACCTAATCCAAAGAGGTATTTCAGGGTTGAATAAGTAAAAGTTAAGTATTATGCATATTAAATTTATGAAGTGCTTAGTCTCTGGTGTAACATTAACAAGGACTGATTTTTTTTCTAATAATTTCCAACAGTGTACTTCCAGTTCACAATATTTGAATGCTAGGTGATGCTGCCTTGTGGGCAATAAACACCTGCTTTCCTGTTGTGTTTGTTGTCTGACTTTGTCCTTGGTATGTTTTCAGGGATGCTGTTGTACTAAGAAAATTTTCAAGTACTCTGGCAGATACCTTTTGGCATGACTTCGAGAATGAAAAGGCTTAAAATTAAAAAATGTTGGGATATTCTAGATTGTGTCTATTGAAATGAGAAGCTCATGGAGTGTGAGGATTGTGCTGTATGTCTCCAAACTTGTGCGCAGGGGCATACTGAAGTATGCAAAAAACCGATTTATGTTTTTCTAAGTGTATGTACAAGAAAATAAATCTACACAGTTTTTTGATAGGATAAAAATCAGAATTAATTTTCAGTGATTAATGTTTGGAGTATTATGATTTTTTATTATTTTTTACATTATAGGTTTTTTTCTTAATAGCTATTTGAGCTGACGGACATGAGATTTGGGGAGGAGAGAGTAGAAAGGTTTTTAAACAGCTTTTAAGAGAGAGAGTCTTATTTAGGTTCAAAATTTTGATTCTCCTATTCTGGCAGATGATCTGAGGGTTTACAATACTGTATCTGATATTGTAACATCCTGCTATATGTGGCCGTGAAAAAAAAAATTTTAGTGAAAATTTTTCATAGGAAGCACTTAAAGAAACAAGTGGGATTTTTTCTGTGTGTGGTTGTTTTGTTTTGGGTTTTTTGTCCCTCTTAATGTGTTAGATGAGTGGAGTTAGATGACTCTTGTAACAGCTGTAGCGGCGCATGGAAATGATGGAAGCAGAGGGAGAGAAAGCAAAACCTTATGAGGAAGGTTCAACAGGTTTGTGTTTAGCATGTACTTGGACCTTGAACACTCTTTTCCGATCCCACCTATACTGCCTAACCTGGACTGGTTTTTTTGCTCTACTGCAAGTTTAACTTACCTAAAAATTGTGAAAAAGATCTTTTTTTCTTAAAAGGGCTTTCTTGCTTGTCTTTTGTATTATACTGTTCTGCAGAATGGAAATAAAGCATCCCAGTGAAGAAGTTCTTTGTTCAGAGTGCCACTGGTGCCTTCATGTACCTCTTAGGTGTAAGAAGTAATCTTTCACCCCCTCGGTCCTTTTGTACAATCCATCTGTTTGTAGCTGAATCCAGAGTTGCATTGCCCTAATGAGTGAACATGTTGGCTATGGTACACTTTGTGGCTCAGCTGAAGGAAATCTTGCTGTTGTGCAGTGACAAAGGGAAAACGAGCCACTGCCACGTGCACGTGGTGTATTCCAGGCTGAGCAAGAGGATCTGATGGTCTTGCCATGCACTTGGCCTTTTTGTGTTGGCTGAAGGTAGGTGTTTCACTTTTCATGTGGCCGGGAGAGACCTCCTGTAGTTTGGGTACCTAGGAGGTTACCACGAGCTATGGCAGACTGATTACTACATTTAGTTAACTAGGGAGTATTGCCAGCCTCAAGAAATGACTTGTATATCTTCATTTCCCTTTGGCAAAAGCTTTATACCATGTATTAAAGATCATTTGAGCGTGAACTTTGTTTAACTAATAGTGAAAATAAATTCCACAGTTAGTTCTCCATTAATAATGTTTAAACATTTGAATCAAAGGAGTGTTGGCTTGAATGACCTAACTGGTCCCATTTGATTTAGTGTGATGAGGGAGGAGTAAGAAATCCAGATGAAAAGTGCTGAACTTGAGAATGACTTCATCAGTTTATGCCTTGAATTATGCCCAGCAGCAATAGTTGCCTATGTTACGAAGACGTTGGCTCTATCATCAATTTGTGGAGGGAGGGGAAAAAAACCTACCCAAACCAAACCCCATAACCTAACAACAACCCACCCTGCTGCCCCACCACCACTAGAACTCCAAGTTTAGGTTTCCGTAATTGAAATTGTTTAGCAAACCTGTGTTGTGCAATGTCTGAGAACACAACATGTACACTTGACTGCTAGTTCACTGTAAGAGCATAGTGTGAATCATTCTTTTAATATACTGTAATTCCTAACTGTAATTATACGTGTGCACTTCTGCAGTTAGGGTAGAGCTTACCTGTAAACCAACAGCAGAATTTTGAAAACTGAGTTCATGAAATGCTGTTGTATTAATGCTCTCCTAAAATATGGTTTGAAATTTAAAATGTTTTTCAAAATGACATGTTTTGACAGAATTACATCCAAAGCAGAATGGGGACTGACTTAATGTTCTACCGGACGGCTGCTATCAATAGCACTTTTGGATAATATTATAAACAACTAAAGTCTGAGATTCAAATTTGAGTAATCTGAAAATGAGCTTTTGGAAACCGTGAGGTATTAGTGTGGCCTAAGAATGTGTTCAGATGGCGATTTGCCACACATAACGTCAAGTTTTCCCACTTTAGTCTCTAGCAAAATCCCTTGAAGTGTAACTGCTCACAGTAAACATGCAGATGTACTTATAACTGTCTTGCTTCTAGATGAAGTGTGAGCTGTGCTGTGTGTGTAGTTCAAGATTTAAAAGGTAAAATGCCACTTTTATTCTGTCAGCCATGGGATATTTTTCAATGAGCATGGAACCAGCACACCTTGGCATCACTCAGGAGTAAAAGAGAGAAATCTTGACACCACCAAAAACCAGCAGCTGTGTTCTCATGATTAACAGAGTCTGAGTCTGCGTGCTGTACACCTTACTCAAGCAGACGTGACCGCTGAAGTTTAAGTACCACGTCTGAATGGCACCAGTAGCTTGGCAGACTTTAAGAGACTAAGAATTTATTGTTAGTCATGATCTAATCTCTACAATGGCCAATTTCTCTTTCTCTTTATTTGACATTCATGATGCTAGAAGACTTTTTTTTTTTTAAATCAGTTGAGAAGCAAAACACAAAATTAAATCCTCCAGTTAGCAGGGGATTTCAAATGAATAGTCAGTCACTAACCTTTGTATTGCTTATGCGTAGTCCAGTTTATGCTGCAGTGGGAGAGTTTGGACTCGTCTTCCCATTTGTAAATCACTACTGTCTCAGAACTTCAGTGTTGTACATAACTTATTTGTTGAATTTTCATGTAAAACACTTCAGTGCTCATGTTAAATTTGTCTAGGATGATATTACCAGTGGATCTAGCAGAAAGGAGTAATTTGGAAGAATCTGATGAGGAAGAAGACAGCTACCACTTTCAGCAGATGTATTTGACTGTATATGCTACTTTAGTATGTAACTGTTTTGTCTTCACCAAGAAAGGTTTTGCTTACGTTCTCAAATGCTGAGTAGAAATACAATTTCTTTTCTTTCTAAAAAAAGCTTGTATATTTTATGTATGTATGTAACTTAAGAGTTCTTAAAATACTATCTGGTTTTGGAGTAGCTTGCAGTAGCTCAGGAGTATCAGCACTGCATTTCAAAAATAGCTGTAAAAGATCTACCTGCTAATGTAGCTAGTTAACATCCTTTTAAATAAAAGATACAGCTGTAGCGTTGGTAGATTGCTCAATAATCTTTCTTAACAGCTACTGTTGAGTAAAAAGGATGGGAGGAGGAGGAGGAAGGTCATTGCGGAACATCTATTATTTTCTTAAAAGAATTAGCTGGAAGAGCTTGCTTTATTTATGCATTCAATATGTTTCACATGTTATGAATTGAATATTTGACATTGTCTGATTAAGTCAGATCATTTGCAGTGAAAACCATCTGCATCCAGAAATCTTTACAACTTCTTCAAGGTACTGTTCATTACGTGGAAAAACTCCACATTACATTACTAAATAATTTAAACTTTTCTTAAATTCAGACCTTTCCTTTGTTGGGTGAAGGTTTGTAAGTCTTCACTCTGTTTCCAAAGGAGGTGGAACGACTGTAAGTCCTCAAACAAATGATGCTGAAATTACGAGAATTTTCATTGCTGAATTCACTGAGATTAGGCTTTTACCTGTGGCATGTGTGCTTACATACTCACACGAATGTTTGATATCTAAGAATATTCTTTATTTGTAATGTCAGATATATGGCTTTATGTATTGCATTTGTGCTTTGTAAATGTTGTAGAAGTAGTGAGTAGCTGTTGAGTCCAGCTTAGAAAAGATCTTCTGTGATACATTATTCTGAAACATTTTGGAGCTTGTAATTACATAGATTAATATTTCATGTAGCTGCTTTTTTCTTTTTCTTTACATGTAATGGCTTTCTTCAGTTTGTCTTGTGCTGAAAGAAGGCTTGGATTAAGAGTCTTTAAGGCATTCCTTCTATGAAGCATATTTTTTTCTTTCTGTAAAGGATGTTTCTGTAGTTACGACAAAGAGAACCATTTTGTGTGTAACCTTGTCTTGCAGAAATGAGTCAGTCACAAGAGTGTGTAAGCTTATTTTCAAAAGTACAACAAACAAGAACTGGGGATATTTGTTCACTATTTTGTAATCTTTTTAGTTTCATAACCCTGGCTTGACCTGCTTTAAGACTTGGTCATAGGCTTCTTTTTGTATCTTAGACATATTTCACAATTTAACAAATCTCTTAATACTCTCTTTGTAGTAATGAAAAAAGCTAGAAATGTGAAATGTTGGTCTGATGTAAATGGTTTCCGGTAACTTCTGATCCATGGTCCTCGTGGCTGCCTCTAGATTCACGCCTTAACAGTGCATGTCAGATATAAATGACTTGTACAGTTACAGGCCTCTCTTATCGCTGGGGAGGTCTAGAATGAGCAAGTTAACTTTGATGGTTACTATTGATAGAAAAACACTCAAAAGACTGAACCCAAAATTCAGAACAACAAGCCTGCACATTGCCAAACAGCTAGACTTATCTATCCCAGTAACTATATGGTTTTATATGCTCAGTTTAACCAGTGATTTTTTTTTTTTTTACTAAGGTTGCAGTTCCACTTTTAGTACTTACTGTCCAAAACTATAACAGGAACCTAGTAAAACTGATGGTGGCATTTAGAAATGTTGCATGCTTCTGTCCAATTATTTTCAGAAACACTGTGATCTTATCATGAGATTTTGTATCTTGGATGAACCAAAATACTGCCCAAAGTCTGAATACTGATGTTGAAATTGTAGAGTTTGACAAAACGAGTTCGCCTGATTTCCTGGGAGGAGGAGATCTCTGAAAGATCTCTTGTCAGTAACAGAAATGAAAGCTGCAGACTTGAAGCTGGAACCAGTTTATTCCATCTCTATACTTTGTGTTCATTTGTCTTTAGTATTAAAAATGTAACACTATTTTTTGCTTTCTTTTTTTTTTTTCTCCTAGGGAGGCAATAATGCAGGGCATACAGTTGTTGTGGATTCTGTGGAGTATGATTTTCATCTTCTGCCAAGTGGGATCATCAATCCAAAAGTCACTGCATTCATCGGTAAGGGGGACATCTTTTAAAAGCAGACAATACTGTAGGTACTGACTTCTGACATATTAAAATAACAAAATATATCTGAGGACATACATGATCAGGATTTTTCTTCCTCAGATTCTTATAGGCCTGAACTGTTCTACTGTCTTCTTAATATTGTCTTAACTCAATTGTGAAGTTTGGGTTACAGAGGTTTCTTTTATTGTCTTGGATAGTTCATCTTTACGGCATATCTTCATTCTCCCATTCCCTCTTAATTTCTCTGCCAATTATTTATTTTATTCTCAGAATTTCTTCTCTCTGTTTTAATGTTCAGCCCTGCTAAGTAACTACCAGTACCTTTTTGAAACAGATCTTTCCTCCCTTTTCCATTGGACTGTGAAATGAACGCTACTCCAAAAGACTTCTGCGCTATATAGTTCTTACCAAGAAGTCGTCTCAGGAGAGTGCATTAGGTTTAGGGCAGTGGCAGTACTATGTGATGTCAGGATCTATGAGCTGTTTGCTTCCCGAAAGAGGGTTTAGATTGTCCTGCCTGTTGTCCCTACAAGCCTACTTACCCCTCTCCCTCTCTTGGAGTCCTGTTTCCAGTCCTGTGTGGTTTTTTTTGCTTTGGATTGCTTGTGTGACTAACCTACTTCATAATACTGTGTAGCCCTTAAAAATTCCTTCTAAATGAAGGTAAATATAAAACAGTGTTGTAACTATGCATGTGCTTATGTGCTGTTTCACAAATCATGTGAGTCTCTGGGTCACTAAAGGCTGTGACCTCTCAACACTTCCATCCTGCTTTTTTGATACCCAGACCTCTTATCCCTTACACAGTGTATTTTACTGAATCAGGACTCTATTGCTGTCTTATCACTTCTTCCTGCATGTCTCGTGGCTTTGAGCCTGTAGCCTTGCCTCTCGTTTTGGTATGTGTGCCCGGAGTAAGTGGTCATTGACAGCTTGCTGAACAGTGTAGCAACTGAAGAGCCTTTGTCACTGGATGCCTGATTCGTAACCAGTACTTGCTGAATTCTTGGGTCCAGCTTGTAGCGACTGTGTACTCGCTGTCAGCGTTAACTCTTTACTTGATGGGAATTGCTGGTTAATTGCCTCTTTTCAGCTGTTATATTGTGACTTGATAGTGGGGTAGTTTTGGATCAAGTTGCCCTGCCTAATACTGTACAGAAATTGAGCCAGTGGGCATGGAAATAGATTCCCTCTGATGAAGGGGAGCTTGGGATGTAACTGCTTCTAGTTTTGAGGGCTGTGGCAGATGACACTACTTTTATTCTCTTTTGATGTGTTACTGTATTGTGTTTCTTTAAAAGATTGCTTGAAAACAGTAAAACAGGATGCCCATTTGCCATGTTTTGTTTGGTGGACTTAGGGTTGAGTAGGAAAGACCCCATCCTTTAATAATACAGTGGGCAGGAGAGAGGTTTTTACAAATCGTCTTGTCTGTTCTGAATTTTGTTGTTCTAGCTTCTTTTACATCTGCCTTGTGTTTAAAATCTCTTTTGGAGGAAAAAAAAAAATCTGGCCAAGGATTCCACTGGAAAGGCTTATAGGTTCAAAAAAAGGACAAGGCCAAAATGATTAAGTGTTATAGTGGATTATTACTATTGATTAGGACTGTACCATGAAGGTTATAGTGAAGAAGTCTTGAATACTTTGTATTTTGATGTTCAGAATGTTTTTATCTATGTGAAATTAGGTGGTATGCAAATAGTTTCAAATGGCAGGTCCCTTCATTCTTTAGCTAGATGTAATCATACTGATAGCTTTGGATCTACTGAGTTTGGTATGACCTTAAGATGGTTCAGTTTTGCTATATGGAAATGCTCCTTCTTAGGCACTCAGTGATGCTGATGAATTGTATGAGCTAGTAGTCTTTTTCTGAGTAGTGTGACAGCTGTAGGAAAGTGAGCTTGCTTTTGATAGAGCTTTTTCCTATGTTATTTTTGTTAGTCTGTTAACCCCAACTCTGTATACGGAATATTCTGTGTCTATTTACAGCAGAAGAGTGCCTGAGGGGATGCTAGTGTTTATAATGATGATAGAAATGTGCTAAGCTTTTAAAAAACAATAGGGTCATTAAAATGGAAGTACAAAGAGGGAGGTTATTTTTAGATACGAGGAAGAGGAAGTTGCATTCCGGACTGTCCCACGATGCTGTTACTGTTTGTCCTAATGTAAATTGAAAGTCTATGGAGTTTATTAAAAAGATTCAATGCATATAGTCAGAAATGTGTACTTTAGGTGTAAATCAATCTTTTACAGACTTAATTCCTTAGAATAAAAATTGCAATGTCTTGAAAGTTTAAAAACTTAAATAAAATAATCTCCGTACAAAACATGAAGCGTCTTTGAATAGTTTGGAATATTTTTTCCATGCTTAACATAGTTCATTAAATTTTGTGTAATGGTTTTCTTCAGGAAATGGTGTTGTAATTCATTTGCCAGGACTCTTCGAAGAGGCTGAAAAAAACGTAAAGAAAGGAAAAGGTGAGAATATTTTAAGATACTTCTCTTAAAATAGTTCATAGGACCCCCTGAAAAGATTTAGATAGAGGATGTCTTTGTAGAGGCTACGTACAACGTGTTTTTCCAGAACTCTGTTTAGCTGCTAGTTTCTAACAGGAGTCTCGCCAGAAGTCTCAGGGCCCTCCCAGGGAGGCAGGCAAAAGGAGTCTCTGTACAGTTTCAAAAGAGAACGAGTTCTAAATATGAATTATCTGCTGACATTTTTCTTTGCTTAAGGCAGTGAATTTAAGAAGTGAAACAACTTGTTAGTCTGTTGCCTGTTTGTAGTCGTTTTACCTCTTAAGATACTGGTGTATAGTATGATGTTAATGTTAACAGGAGTTAATATAAACAAATGCTGTGGTAATCACTTCTTGATTCAGAACTGGGGTTTTGGATGCTTTCTGTTATGTCTGTGGCCATGCCTGGCAGCAGTCTACTCTAAAGTGAGGTAAATCAATGGTCTAGATTATTAAAAACCAAAAAACTTCTAATTGATTGTTGAAATTGAGGGACTAGAGTAGCTAGAACTCTTCCTCCTGACTTTCTCAGCTTTATAGGCTAATGCCAAGTTTTAATTATCAAAATCTACTTTTTTTTTTTCCCTCTGGAACTTGATTGCTCAATCTTTAAATAAATTGACTGAAGACTAAACATGGAAAGTGTTTATCCTTTATACATCAGAAGACAAAAATGCTATACAAAACATAATTTTAACTATTTCATTTTGTCTTTTAAGGGCTAGAAGGCTGGGAAAAAAGACTAATAATTTCTGACAGGGCTCATATTGGTAAGTTTCTGTTTGTGTTTTGTTGATATTTTTGTTAGTCTTTTGTTTTCTCTGAACTTTCCATGGCAGTAAAAGTGTGACAATTTTTAGCCATCTCTTGATACAGCTATGTGCTTTTCTTTGGATTAAGTCTCCATATGCTACTTTGTTTTATTGAAGATTCTAGAAAAAAATCATTCACCACTCAGGACCCTCCCAGGTTTATATTCTAGTGATTTTTTAATCTTATTCCGTAAGCATAATCTAGTCAGAAAGTCAGGTTCACTTTCTAAGCCAAAGGTGAGAGGTTCAACGCAGTGTAAAAGCAGTTCAGAAGTTAATTGGCTGAAGGATTCACTTCCCTCCTCGGTGTAAAAGCAGTGTTGCTTATAGCAACTTTTCTGCTGGGAAACCACGTGACTGGGCGTGACTTCCAGCGAACGGGCTCCCTACCAAGGGAATTGCCACGTGCTGCACAAAGGAGACTCTATGGGAGGGACGATGGAGGGGATGGCCGCCCTCCTTGCAGGGCACCCATCAGTCAAGCCTTGGTTCCAGACAACTCCCCGGTTCAGAGCCTGGAGTAAAATAGTGCTTAGAGTCTGAACCACCAACACAGAGCTTCAGAGGCTCTTCCTGTATCACTCTTGGGACATCTTTATTACATAAATTCATTCTTTAAATTAGATCTTTAGATATTGTAACATAATAGTTATGTAACTGCATGTATTAGGAAAGGGACTTGCTGCTTTGGTAGTCGTCTTCTGAATAGGAAAGCTTTTTAGGTCGTTATCAAATAAAAGCTTGTAACACCAGAAAAAAGGTTTTGCTTTGCTGTTTTCTTTTTTCTTTCTTTCTTTCTTTCTTTCTTTTTTTTTTTTTTTTTTAAAAAAAAAAGAAGGTCTGGAATGACTTACTGAGTGACCATGTTATTTCAGAATAAATATGTTTTTTACTTTGGAGTAACTAGTGAGTTTGAAATAGTTGAGTAGCTGTTCCTAAGTTACTAAAATCCTTTCTGAGAGTGGAATCACTGTAGGTGAATTACTTGGAAATGAGTAGATTATTAAAAAAATTATTCTGCAATAATTATATTGCAATACTGTGAAGTTTTCATAGCAAGACAGGTCCTGAGTGAAAAGGACCAGTTGTTGACTGTTACCCATAATCACTCAACCTCTTAACATAAATAAACTTTCAGAATGCTTCTGTTTAGAAAATTTTGATGACAGTCTGTAGATCTATTGCCGTGGTAAATATGCCTTCTCTAAAATAGATATTGGCAATATCTGAATGATAAATCTGTAACAAAAGATCAACCAAAAATAGGTTCAAGCTGCTGGGGATAATATAATCCTTTAAATTATGGAGGTGTACGGAAATACACACAAAAATAAACCAGTAAGGCAAACAAGGAAAACCACTGTTGTGCTAGAGAGACTGCAGTACTGGTTAAATGAGTCTGCCTCTTGCAAGCTTTCAGTATTTCCTGTGTAATGTGTAGATTAGTTGTTTTAACTTTCGGGGTATAGTACTTAAGAAAAATAAGCTGGCTTCTGTTAACTGGCGAACTGTTGCACCACTGTATTTGATATGAGTCTTGTCAGATTTGTTGTTGTTGTTGTTTTTTGCTTTTATGGTAGACAAAGAATTGGTCCGAGGGATACTTTGCAAGATCTTTGTCATTAATAATATGCAATGCTTTAAAAAAAAAAATCAGGGCTTGTGAACATGACTTCTGTTTACGTAACAGAGATTGATGGGAGCTTTTGTATTTCCAAATGTATTTTAATTGATGTTGTCTAAAACATAAAAATAAAATTGCTTAAGAAGTCTTCAGAATGGATGAGAATGTTTACTTAAAGCTCTCACCTTAAATTTTAGCTGTATGACATTTTTTACTATAATCTATTTTCCAGGATTTTTTTCAATTGCATGTTTTCTTTGGTGGTGTCCATACATTCTTTTGGGCCACTACAAAGCTGAAACGGCTTAGTTATTCTGTGGGAGTTGTATACACAGTCTGCAAGTATCCTACAAAATAAACACTTAAAAAGTCTCTGAAGGCCTCAGAAGTCTTCCCTGTGAAAAAAATATAACTTGTAAAAGAGGGGAAAGAACTGTTGTCATTTTATGTACCTCTCTTCAGTGTGTATATTTTTGTTTTCCATGTTGATAAACAGGGATAGAGTTGTTTTGAAGAAATCGTTACTGATATGGTAACTTGTTTCACACAAATTTTCTACTCAAATTATTTTTATTTTCTTAGTATTTGATTTCCACCAAGCTGCTGATGGCATCCAAGAACAACAGAGGCAAGAACAAGCAGGAAAGAAGTAGGTAGTTTTGTTTTGTCAAACATAGTATGACTTAGTACAAACATATGACTTAATACATGTGATTTCTGTTACTGTTTGTCATTGAGTTTAAAAAAGTATTAATTATTATTGTAACTCTTCAGTGTGGAGTGTGCAGGGTCATTTCTTACACTGTTGTCCTCCAGTGGGTAGCAAAAGATTATATTCTTAATGAAAGGGTTGTATCTTGATATTTTACCTTACGAAAAAGTTCCTAATTCCTGATTTGCTTTATAAAAATGGTTCCTACTTCCTAATGTTTTAGGTGTTTACTAGAGGTACTTGCTTCTGTAAAAATGTATTTCTGTTTATGAAGATTGAAGGACCTTTTTGTCATCTCCAAATAACTGAAAGGTCTGATATGACTAATTTGGTATCTCACAATGCTTCATTGTCAGAAGTGCATGTAAATGTTCACATTGTCTACTACATGCTTTTACTGACTTTCTGAAGCTTTTGAAACTTTCTTAGAAACTAGCTGCTGCGTTTCTAACTTGTGATTTCCGAGTAACTCGCTAGTTCTTGGGGATGGGGAAAAAGCTGGTGGAATTAACTGTGACATATCTACAGCCGGAAAGTAAAGCAGCACTATGGTCTTCTGAGATACTCCGAAAATGAGTTGCGTACTAAAAGTACCGCGTGTTTTAAATGCTTGAAACAAGGTTCTAAATGCTTGCAATTAACAGCATTTCATTTTATGCTAAGAATGTCTTACCTTTATAGAAAAAACACCTTATTTTTATATCAAGAGTAACTCCTGTTATTATCTTTTGAAAGTTTGGGAACTACCAAAAAAGGAATTGGTCCCGTATATTCTTCAAAAGCAGCTCGAAGTGGACTCAGAATGTGTGATCTTGTTTCTGATTTTGATGAATTTTCTGAGAGGTAATTTCTGTATTTTAATACATGGCTGTAAGCATAGTTTTCAATTTCTGGGTAGTACCCTGTGTAAGCAATTACATTTGGTTGCTGTTGCTTTGTTAAAGTTAAAAATTATTTTTAAATATGGAAATAATTTTATTTATAATTAAATCTATTTAGAATTACTAAACTATTGTTTAAAATTGTTGAATCACCAAATAATTGCAGATATGTAATTGGGAAAACCTAAGGTTGGTGGGAGTGTGAGGAGGAAAACACACAAATGAAAACCATAATGAAGCATTTTTACCTTCCAGGTTCAAAGTGTTAGCCAATCAGTACAAAGCGATATATCCTACCTTAGAGATCGATATTGAAGGGGAATTGACGAAGCTCAAGGTAAGCCTGCTTCTGTCTGTTAAGTGATGTAATCACTGTGAACACTTAATGGTACGTGAATCTCTTGGTGACTGACGCTCATGCTTGTGTGAGGAGTTAAAACACAGTACATGTCATGGGAAATTGGTATGTATCAACTTAGAGTCTGCTAGCATCCTTAAAGACACTTTTGACCCTGCTTTATGCAGCATTTCAACATTTGGTTTCAAGAGAAATACTGTAAACTTTAAGAAAAAGGCTTGTTTAGGGAGCTTTATTTTTGACTTCCACTTAAACTTACTGGCTAGGAGTAAAAAACCCAAGATTGTAGTTGGGGAAGGCATGTTTCATTGTAAAGCAGAATATTAATTCCTTGTGTCAGAAACTTAAGAGCTGAAATAAATTATTATTCTAAATAATAAGCCTTAAGGAAAAAAATGCTGTCTGACAACATAGAAGAATGTGAGTTGATAGCAGCAGAACTAAGGAAGCCTGATTTCCAGCAAACTAGTCTTGTGGTTAGTTGTGAATTCTGGTTTGATATATTCCCTGCAATTGCAATAGTTGAGATTTCTCACGGGTATTAATTCTGTTATGCCTAATAGTGCGATTTTTTTGCCGTGCACCCAAGTTCTTGTTTGAAAAAAATTGTCAGGTGTCTTACCCTTACGCAGCCTTTTTGTTCATGCATTTTGTAGAAACTTAACTGTATGAGTTGTTTTGGTTTTTTTTTTACCCCTTAGACCAAATTTGACAAACTGTTTTAAACCATTGATGTATGTGTGGAACAGGGGAGGGTGTGCACAGTTACATGTATAATTCTTTCAGAAAATCAAGCCAAAGATACCATCTTTCTTGTATCTTTAGTTGCCACTAAACTCAGTTTACTAGCTCTAGCATGGAGTATATGGGAGTTCTTAGCACTTCTCTTTGTTTTTACTTTAAATAATATGTTACACATGTGGAGTTGTAGTATTTTTATCAATACGTAGACCTAAAAATCAGTTACAGTTGAGTGTTTTATAATGCTTGATAGTTTACTTAATACACATAAGGATTACAGAATATCTGAAACTCATTGTTAGGGTGGAAACATAATACGTGTTTGTAGCTTGAGGAAATTACTTGCATGTAATGTTTGTTTTATGCTAATGCATTTGATTAAATTCTGAAAGACAAAGTGTTATATTTCATGTGAAGTGAATCATTAGAATGAGAACTTCTGTATGTTCTTATGAGGAGAAAGGCTGTGTACCAAGTATTAGTCTGAATATTACTGGCTTCTTACATCCATATCTATTGTGTAAATTGAAGTCTAATGTTATTCCTTCCCTTGTTCACATGTTATGTCCTATTTAGCATTTATTTGTGTTTGCTTTTCCTTTTCAAAAGGAATATGAGCGTTGTTATGTGGGAGCAATAGCTCTTGTACTCTGGCTGGCTTTCTAATAATAAAATTATACTATACAATAGTCTTTTCTGTTATTCAGGGATACATGGAAAAAATAAAACCAATGGTAAGGGATGGCGTTTATTTCATGTACGAGGCTTTACACGGACCACCAAAGAAGATCTTAGTAGAAGGTGCAAATGCAGCTCTGCTGGACATAGATTTTGGTAGGTATAGCCTTTTTGAGACACACGTTGCTATATACTTAAGTTGTGAAAGAGGAACACTAAATATAAACTGTTCTGTGCTTAGCTGTTCTTATGCCAGAAGTGTTTTGTATTTTGAGAGAACAGTGCTGTCTATGACTAGCAAATACTGGGGGAGGGGGGAAGTTTTTAATTAAATCCTTTTAAAAAGCTTTAGACTCTCCCAACGTTAATGATTTGAATGACAGTAAAGATCAGGTGACTTTTCTTAAATAAAGTGTAGCTATAATTTCCATGTCTACAAATTTCATATGAAATAATTGTATTTGTCTACGCAAAAGGAGAAGAAAAATGGAGAACTTTGAGAGGCAAAGTATATATGCAAAACACTTGTTGACTTTGAAGAATCTGCTTGCACTTTTTTAAACACTTTATATAATGGTTAGTTTTCCACTGCTTCAGGATGTAACGAAATATGTTGGGAATCTGGATTGCTAATGAGGCAAGAGTGACAAGATTATCCCAATCAATTTGAAATTATAAATGGTGCATTTTTTGTTAAAGCACTGTAATTTTTCCTTCCTGATAGAAGCCGCTTTTTTTAATGAGATTATTGTGTGTTATCATTATATTGTAAGGACAGGTGAATTATTATACCTCTGTATAGGCATAAGCAGCCTGTATGATTGGCTCCTGCATTTTGTCACATTTTTCATCGGTCTCACTGGCTTTGTAACTGTATCATTTTTATTGTTGGAAGGATGCTTAAGCCTGAAATTGAAGCCTGGAAGGACTACTGTCAAACAAATAGAAATTTGGCACACATTCTGCTTTCAACTGATGGGAGTTCTGATAACTGGACGTTTTCAAACATACTGAGTTTTAAAGCCTCTTCTTTTAAGAGGAAGATATGTCTAGGAATAATCACTGTAAACATAAGCACCAAGCTTTCCCATGATAATCTGAATATTGGAAGAAATTTCCGTTTTTAACAAGTCAGAAAAAAAAGAGGGGAGAAGTCTTCAAATATGCTTGTCACAGGGAAATGTTTTATGCAAAACAGATATTTGCAGAAAAGTCTAGGGGGCTTGTTTTTGTAAGTAGTGAGGATTTTAGATTTCATATAAATACAGGAAATGCAAGCAGTCTGAATCTCATCAGGTATGATGAGCTGTTTGGGTCACTTGGATTTTTCTCCTGCCTGTGCTGTGAGACCCCCACACACAGAGTATCTCCTTAGGTAGATACCATAGGTTAACCATGGGCTAACAATAGGCGAGTCCTAGTCAAAAGATTTGACAATGCAAAGTTCAATTATTGAGCATTCTGAATGAGGCTATTTTCTGTGCTTTGGTGCACAGAAGTCTTAATACTGAGGTGACTTTTGTGAATTTGTGTCTGTTGGCGGAGAAGATGGTAAATCCCCAGCCTGGCAGTCCATCCTGCTTTTCTGGAGCGTGTAATGAAGCTTGCGTGTGCTTGTGTCTAGGGGTGGGGGAGTGTGGTATTCTGTGTTTTTAAACACTGAGTGAGGCTAAACCAGTGCCAGTATACCAGGCTGGGAGCTGAAAATGGGTAAGAATTGTCTCATTGACTCTCTGACATCCACTAGCTATATTTACCTGTCAGTAAAGAAAAGCTCAACCACTGTGTCGTAAGAAAGATAAAAACTAATTTGTGCTTGCAAACTGCTGTTACGTATCACCTGTAAGCCTGGTCATTTTCTTGAGAGATTTGAGTTAAGCAAAAGAAGCTAGAGATATGTGAAACTGGGCTGCAGAACCTCACTGAACACAGTCTCTGAAGGATTTTGACTTTTTGAAGTTGTCTGTATTGCTGTTGGTTCCTTTTGGCTGTTCCTCTCTTGCCAATCTCTGACTCTTACACCAAAAGAAAAAAAGTGTGAAGCATGAGGTAAAATTCTCTCACTTCTATGTAGTTACTGTGTGGCTGAAGCTAAGGCCTGGCATGCTCTGTTTTGTCTTCCATTACCTGAAAAAATAAAAGTAAACGTAGGGATTTTGAGATGTTTAAGTCTTATCTTTGCTGTCCAGGCTGCTTTTTAAATGAGGACTGAATTTTTGACTAGAGACACTCTCACCACTAATGAACTAGACTGTATTCTAGGAGTGCTTTTTTTTTCTTCTTTAATTGTGGAAATACTGTTTTTCATTTGGTTATGTAAGCAAAATTGTTCTTCCCAGAATTCTACGTGTCTTTGCAATTTCTGTTCCTTATAATGTGCTGACTAATTTGTGGACCTTGTATTTTATTTTTTCTCCCAAAATTAAAAATAGTAAATGTGTATTTTCTGAGCTTTTAATACTGTTTTCTTGTCTCCCTTCAAATTTTTACATTGTTCTTTTAGTGAGTATATTTTAGATAAGATAGCAATGCGTGGTTTTTCTGGTGTATGAATATGAATTATTATGTAATCAACTTTTGCCTCTGTACCAGTTGAAGTAAGTGGTAAGGTTCTACCTTTTCTAATAAGGAAGGATCAGACAATGTGCATACAAAGCTAAGAGCTCATTAAATATGTTGTTGACTGTAAAATACATTTATTGTGTGTTTTGTTTTTTAGTGTTGTAAATGCAAGTACTATTCCTTACCAGGTTAGAAGTTTTTTTTAATAGTCTAAATCAAGTGTTAGAACAAGTTTTTAAAAACTTTTTTTTTTTTTTTTTGAAATAGGCACATACCCTTTTGTGACTTCATCAAACTGCACAGTTGGAGGTGTGTGTACAGGTCTGGGCATGCCGCCGCAGAATGTCGGGGAAGTGTACGGAGTTGTGAAAGCATATACCACAAGAGTTGGAATCGGTGCCTTTCCTACAGAACAAGATAACGTGAGTATTATCAGCCCTAGAGAAACAGTGGCCTGTAACTGGGTGAAATAACTTGACACATCTGTCTTCTGTTAAATCAGTGTTATTGGTTAAGCGCAAGTGGACGACGGTGTGTTTGGATGTCTCATTCTTCTGGTTCTATACTGATCTTACAGGACTACCAAATCTGATTGTCGGTTCTCAGACCTGCCTAAGGAATAGAAGGCTAGAGCAGGAACAAATTTTGATAGTATTACTCTTTCTTAGGAAATTGGAGAATTGCTGCAAACAAGAGGTAAAGAGTTTGGTGTTACCACTGGTAGAAAGAGAAGATGTGGCTGGCTGGACCTTGTGTTACTCCGATATGCCTACATGATTAATGGATTTACTGCGTGAGTTATTTTGACAGCTTTGCTGACAACTTGACATAAAACAATGAAATGCTACAGATTAGTGTTAATTGCACATATATTAGTAACATTCAGGCTGTTGTTATTGATTTGTTGATTGTTTTGATGTCTTGATAAATTAACTGTCCTTCATTTTTCCTAGCATTAAATGTTTTTATATTTGACATTTCCTTTCTTTCTTGTACTTGTAGCACATCATTATTTCTCATTTAAAATGATCCAAAAAGCAGTTATGTATCTTAGTCCTTGATGCTTCAAGCTACCCCAACCCCTGCCGTTCCACCAAACTGAAACCAAATTAAATGCATTACAAGGCCTTTAAAACCTGATATATTTTGTGGGGTTTTGTTTTGTTAGTTTGTTTTCAAAATAAGACAGATGGGAACCCATCAGTATGTTTAGCAGTATGTGTAAACGTAGAAAATTTGGATATGACTTTGGGATTTTAATTAAAATGAGAAATAGGTGTCTGAAACAAAACTGGTGTAAAATTTCTGGTAGATTGAATAGTGTAAATACACGCTTTACTTGAATTTTCCTGGTTTTATTGTCCTTTGTGTTTTTTATTTAAAATAGGATGCAGCGAGGTATTTACAGAGCCAGTGTTTGGTTGTTTTGGTGCCTTCACTGTAGGACAGGAACATTTGGCAGAGGACAGGAACAGACAGCAAAGGCATCATGCTATGGAACCATCTCAAATGAATGATCATAAAGTATCTTGGCAGCACCCTGACCAGTTTAAATTCTAACACGGAAGGCTGTAGACCACTCGCTTTAATTGGGGAATACCTGTTCTTTGAATTTTTGCTGTTTTCTTACAGTACGAGAGTTAAGGACGCAATAAAAAGGCAGTATAAGTTTCCTTTTTTTTTTCTTTTAATTAAAGTCACACCAGATAAATAGATTAGTGCCATATGAGCTATTTTTCTAAGGAAAGACAATTAATTGCAATGTGCACGAATTAGTTTTTCTTTTGGTATTTTTACAATGTGATGAGAGTTGAGAGTTGTACTTGCTTAACCAGAGTAATGTTTCTTCATAGGCTGGCACTTACCAAATTGGATATCTTGGATGTATTTCCAGAAATCAAAGTTGGTGTTGCCTACAAACTAGATGGTGAAATCATACCTCATTTTCCTGGTAAGACTGCTTGTTTATCAATTTTAGATTTTGGTGAAATGTAGTCTGATACTTAAATACATTTTACTTTTACTTGTAAAATTTATGACAGGAATGTGTTACTTCAGCATCAAGCCATTAATGGCTCCCCAGATGCACCAGAGGCACCCTGTACCAGACCTGTACCCACATGCTAAAGATGCCTCTACCAAATACTATCGTTTGTCTACTAGACAGATGCAAAGTGCTGTATAAAGCTTCCTAAATGTAAATATTCTTTCTGCTCTATCTCTTTAATACAGCCTGCTTCAAGCTAAATTGGAAGTTGGTTTCACACTCTACACTCAGTGTCTTATCTCCTCTTCTAGCAGGACAAGTCTTCATTTAGCATGTGGTGAACCACAGGAGAGAACTGATCTGGTTGAAAAGCCAGGTTTTTCTCTTGCTGTGTTACTTTTCTAATGGTTCAGTTCCCTTTAATGGTTCACAGAGCAGCCAAAAACCTGTCACACCTACGCAGTGGAAAAGAGGCAAAAGGGGTCGGGGAGGAAATGAGCAATTAGTTTAGGTGAAAGCAAGACTATTTTCTAATGCAGGACCAACAGTACATCAGCTTAGCGTGATAGAAACTGTAGCTCCTAAGGAGGACAGTGGTCACTTCAGTGATCGTTTTTACCTGAAAAATGTATCTGCATTGTTAAAATATTCAAATATCACAAAACATTGTTTTCATGGATAATGCATCTTTCTCAGTTTGCTATAATAGAGGTACTCCGGAAAAAGGAAGAACATTAACCAGTACTAAAGACTGGGCTTTCTGATTTTCTAATGTGCGCAGATGCCTATTTCAATTCTGATTGCTACCTCAGGGTTTGAGGTTGGTCACAGGTTGCAATTTTTCATATGATATTATCAGCAGAGAACTTTTTGTGGGTGAGGAGATGAACTGTAGTCATCAGATACAACTCACAGCAGTATTTACATAGTATAAAGATGTAATTATGTATAAAGGAATAAGTGATGATCTGCCAGTAGTCCCTGAAAATAGCACATATCTGTTAGGGAAATTCATAAGGAATTAGTAAAAAAATCTTGTGTTCCTCTGTGTGCTTGGGGGAGTTCTCTACTTGATTTGTCCTCCAGTATCTTCAAATAAAAGTGCCAGTTACGATCTGAATGCATACTGAATGACTGGCATGCACTTTTACTCAGGAAATTTAGTACTCATCTTGCACTAAACCAGGGAATGCTTTTCCCTCTTTAAGACTCGGATATTGCCTGAGTGATACCCTTATCAAAATATTAAGTAAATTTCCGTGTACTTTAGATAGCCTTTGAACATAATGGAGATTGCACGTTTGAATCGAGAGCTGCTTAGCAAATGCTTCATCTGTAGCCCTGTCATCTAATCTGGGAGCTGTTTAGACTGTCTTGTGCTCAAGCCAGGAGGACCTTCTTTCGCAGTCCATCATTAAAGATGACATAAATAGGTGGCCATGTTTTCCAGTACTAAGACTTCACTGATTACTTTTTTTCCTCCCATTCATTGTGTCTCGGATGGAACCAGAACCTTGTTACAAGTCCTGAGGGCAGACTTTGCTCCCTGTATATACCCAGGTAACAGGTAGCTGACCTTTGGTCATAGCAGCACAATGTGGCTCACCTGCCTAGCTGTATTTTTCTTTACTCTATGAACAATTAAGAATTCTGGTAGAAATTTAGTAGAAGCTGTTGTCTTTGCTGTTGATATGCTGTCTTCCTTAAGTGTCAGGAAGGAGTCTGAGCTGAACTTCTGGTAAGTTGGAAGATGCTGTCTCTCACAGTGCCTCTGTGTTCCACACCTCTCTCGTTGCTATACTCCTCAACATTTGGCAGCATTTTCAGCACATATGCTGCAGGTTACTTACTACCGCTGCCCCTGGCATAAAAAACAAAAGGTATCTTTCTTCCCACTTTGTGTTCTGCAGACCATTAGGTTATTTCTGATGTCTACAACACTGCATGCTGTGCACTTGTGTGTGTGTGTATATATATATATTTTTTTTTTTAAACTTGCCACTTTGACATTTTGAATGTAATTTAGAAGCGAACTAGTCTGGGAATCTCTTGCTGGCAGGGTATTTCTCTCTTTCTCCCCTCCCTACCCTCCCACTGTCGTGGAGATGGTAGTGATTTACCCTTCTTGTGAAATAACTGTCTCTAAATTAGAAGCACGCACAGTGCCCACCATCTCAGGAAAACATGCCATATTTCATATATTGTTCCTTTTTCCAGCTGGATCAGAGAATCTTATGAGTCTCACTAAGGTTTTTTAGCTTAGATTTCTGTGGACATTTCATAATCTCCTGTTAAGAAAGAACTAAAAATGTCTCGTAAATTTACAGCTGACTTCAGTTGGTATCATTGAGGCTGTAGTCTTCTGCTATGGAGCTGGCCAGTATCTCCTGTTCTGTTCAGTCATAGGAGTTTATGAAAGAAAGCTAGAGCTCCCTGCTGGCTCTGACCTGATCAGTTTAAAGGGAAGGTGAAAGCCATGGTCTCGTCCTGCTAGTGCCTCCTGTCCAAGTTCAGGCCTCAGTTGATCTCAGCTCAGACAGATACAACCTCTAGCTCAGGAGACTTTGAAAACACAGATCCTTAGGACATTGGGAGGTTATTGTGGAGAAGCTTTACTTCATGCTTGCTCTTTTTTCTTGTGCTCTTTCCTGAGGTCTCTACTGTAGATTAAAGATCTAAGACACTGTGCTAGATGCATGTAGGTCTGACCTATATTACTGTTTTTATGTCCAGTTTCTGGAAGTTGCTGCAGGATCATTCTGTTACAATCATGCAAAGATGCCAAATTTCAGCTATTATTGTTGAGTTGGAAGTAACATCACACCATTGCCTCTCCAAATTTTAGTACCAGACTACCAGATATCATTAAATCTGCTCTCTCTATAATATAATTCAGCTGTTAATAAGGAATATTTCAGAAAGCCTGAAAGATAAATCCCCTAAGGGAAGAGCTGAGACAAATCTAGGTGGTGACTACTTGTGTTACTACACTGAGCTCAGTTTATGGCTTGTCTTCACCACACATCATCTTTTATCGTACCTGCTGGAACAAACTGAGACAATCGTTTGAAACATAAAGAAATTTGTCTCTTCTTTTTCTTCCTCCTTTTTGGGAAGTAAGGAATTGAACTAATACAGAGTAATGGAAGACTGTAGACAAGATTAGACGATTCAATTCTGAGTGCTTTCAGCTTGCTCCCAGCTAGCCTCATCAGAGAGGCTTCAAAGTAAAAATGCCTGTGGATCTCCAAGATTAGGCATTCAGTCACTTTGCCTCTTCAGAAAGAGTGAGGCTAGCATCTTGTTCTAGACCATCTGCAATGCCCAGAGATTAGTTTGTAGCTTTCCACTTTGAATACAGCTGTTCTGTTTTACAGATCGCCTGGATGGCAGACACCATCTCAGTTGTTACTGCTGATGACATTAAAGAAAGTGCTTATTCTTGGCCTCTGCAACCCGGCATCCTTAATGTGCCTGTTTGTCCCAATTGATTCAGGATCATTTGCCTTAACCTGTGAACACCTCAGTCCAAAAATTGTGCATTTCTTCACTGTTCTAGGCTTTGAAGTTGGTAGAGCGTAGTCCTACTTCACCCTTACTCAAAAAGTCTAGTTCGTAAAGGCTGTCCTTACAGCATTGCTACTATTAAACTTGTCCCTGCACCAGGACAAATTGTTCAGTATGCTCAGCTCGAGTTTGTTGGCTACACACATGCTGGAGGAGATTAGCTATGTTGGTTTTGTGTTGGCATCTCTACTGTGCCTCTTGCACCTAAAGCCCTTTCCCAGGTCGACTAGCTGTCTTTGCAGGAGTGACTTGATCTGAGACATGGAGCCTGCATAAACATTAATTACAGTGCCTTTGGCAGAACCCTGTCTCTTTCAGGAAGGCAGGAATTTTTAATGCCTGACACCTCCCATTTTCTTTTTTATCAATGTGTTTTGACCATTTTCAGGCTTAAGGCTTTTGTTTCACTGCCCAGTGTCGTTCCAAGACTAATGTTCAGGTAGTTACTGGAATGATTCAATTCCAGAACAATGTGTTTAGCATCTTTTCCAGTACTTGAAATACTTGAGTACAGGATTCAGAGTTAACGGACAACATTGTAGTAAGTTAGTAACTAAAGGACAAAATGGAATATACTCGTTGCTTCTGTTCTGAGAAGGAATTGGAACAGTTACTGTTCATACATCATGTGGGACTCTGCACTGGTTGACAGATTCGTTGCAGAGTTTGGGGCAAAGGGTCAGCGGGCAGCAGAAGTCTGTTAGGTATAAACTACATCTTATGACTATGTTTAGCAAAACGGACACTCCTATGCCATTTTAAAATATGTTTTAACTGCCTGATACTTACAAGCTGGTGTCTGATTTTGCTTTCATGTCACTGAATTGCCTCGTGAGGGGGGAGTTGGATCTTGGTATTCATAAAAAAAAAAAAAATCAACATTTTGGGGAATGATTTTTCCTGAAAAGTTGTTTTCTGAACTGAAAAGATGATGGTTTAAGCAAAATATGTGAATGTGACTGAGTACTGGAATTCTTGAAGTCTAAATCCTGATAGTTACTGGATTTTTTTTTATCTCTGCGTATGTTAACAAAAAAGGACACTTCAGCACCTTCAGTTTATGAGTAAACCTCCTTGTATAAGAAAAGAATAAAAAGCTTTACAGTTATGTGTTTAGAGGTAGAGAATATATAAACTTTGTAGACGTAATATTTTTGTTCCTGTTTGCTTCTCAGCCAACCAGGAAGTCTTAAATAAAGTAGAGGTTCAGTATGAGACACTCCCGGGATGGGATACGGACATATCAAATGCAAGGACGTTTGATGAGCTGCCAGTAAATGCACAGAATTACGTTCGCTTTATAGAAATGGAGTTGGGTGTTCCTGGTGAGTAAAACAGATTTTATTTTTATTTTTTAATGTTTTGGTTTTTTTCCTGCTCCATGAAACCTGTCTTGTACTTTGCCTTCATGAGCATTCAAAATACTGAAAACTAGTTTGTAGCTGTGCTTGTTCTGATGTACCCGGTGATACTTGTAATTATTGTTTTACTTCTTTTTATTGATCTGTTTAGCTGTTGAATTGAAAATTTTCTAAAGTTTTACTATGCATTCTTTCTTTGGCTTATACTACAGTTTGTGTTCAACTGAGACTCTTACAACTTGCTTAAGTGATTTTCGGATTGATTGTAATAGAGGTTTAGTTCTGCTGCTATTATAAAGTCAGTGGGATTACTGGTGTATTGATGTGATTAAATATATGTGACAGTAAGAGCTCCTAAACTAGTAAATTTCTCTTATGCTCCCTAATAAAGATGATCCTGTGGTTCCATCCACAGCTGGGAATTAGGAGATGATGCAAATCCTCACTTTTCTGACAGTTGCTATGTATCTTTTTTCCTATGATCTGGAAAACTGATTTATTTATTATGGCAGCTCAAGACTCTTCCTGCTTTTCTAAGTTACCAATGCATTCTTACTTAGAGAACAATAAACACAGTTATCATTTCTTAATGTACTAATACTATATGCTGTGCTTTTCTTCAGACTATGGTACTTAAGATCTTAAGTGCTTAAGAAGATAAGTTTGTATCTTATCTTAAGATACAATCCGATCTTGCTGTGTATTACTTTTATAACAAAAGTTTGCTTTTCTCTCCTGCAGTTAAATGGATTGGAGTAGGGAAATCCAGGGAATCAATGATCCAGCTGTTTTAAAGATTTCAGATGCATGGAAGAAAGCACACTCCTCAAAAGACTGCTCATTCTTAAATGCATTAGTAGCCCGCAAAGCAAAGATGTTGGAAAGATACAGATTTTTTTTTTGCATGGAAAGAAATGCTAGAGTTGATACCCTCAAATCAATCGCTACTCCTGAAAGAGACTTTATCATGAACCTGTATCAGTTCTTGTTCAACTGCAATTTCCAGGATGTTTGTCATTGTTCAAGGTGCCATCAGATTTTTTTTTTCTTTTCTAATACTTACTTCATCATGTAATTCCTGTTTGAAAATCTAAGGTAGCATTACTTTCATGACTGTTTATTATCCTCTCTCTGCTTTTGGCGGTGTTACTTCCCTGAAATTTTAGACAGTAAAAATAATGCAGTTTTGCACAGATAGTTTTACATCCTCATTATTTGTATTCCTAAAGCTGTTGTATTCTTAATGGCTGCTCTTGTGAGTGATTAAAGAGGGGAATTCTGATTTTATAATGCTATAAATGCTGTCTAAATTATTGTGTGATCTGTTTTTTTAAAAAAAGATGTGATGCCAAGTTGTTAAGAATGTCCAGTTTTTTTTAGCTGTGTAACACAGAAAACTTACTCTTTGTAACCCACAGAGGACACTCAAGTGTTTAGCAGGAAGTGTGCCCAGAAAGTTAGAAGACTGATATTGTAAAAAGTTCATTTGCAATGATTAAAGAACCGTTCTGATTTTGAGTTAAATGTTTTATAATGTTACTCCTTTTTTTTAACCTTGCACTTCTCCACTTCCAAGGCGCATATCTCAAACTGTTTCCCTAATTAAATGAGGTTATATTTGTATTAGGTGAGAAGTCTAACATTCTGATGCCCTTCTGAATTCCTTTCTACATAGCCAATAGAAGATCTTTCTCTGGAGAACTGGCAAAGCACAGACACTTTTGTAATTATAAATTGAAGATGTTCTAGAATTATTTTAATTTACAACCATTATTATATATTCCAAATAATCTGATTTCTTTTGGCAACAACCCAATAGTTACATATTCCCTTTCCAGATTTTTTGTGAATGACTTTGTTTTTAAAAACCATACTATGGTATTCATGTGCTTCCTTTTCACTTCAAATAAAACTTCCTTTGTTTCCTAAAAACAAGTTTGTGTCAAGGTGGGGCAGTAGTTGTTGACTTAGTTTAGCAGATTTTGGCTATGCAGGTGAATATAAGAAACTTTTAATGCAAAATAAAAAATACGAGGCCTTTGAAATGATGTCTTGGGTAACCAGATGTTGCCTGAAATGGACTAGATGTGTTGGATTGATGCTGTGGATTGATGCTGCTGTTGAGGTGTTCAGCACAATGTTTATGTTCTCGATTGGCATAAAATAAAATTGCTTGTAAGGGGAGGAGCAGCAGGGTTGAAGGATAAAACTAATGATATTTAAGGAGCATTCTTCTATTGACTTGTTTGCATGTGACAGAGCAGTTAACAGGGTGTGTATTTTACTTCTGTAATATGTGGAAAGAGGAGGATACCACAGAATGCTGGAGAATTTGGCAGATACATTGAGACACCTTTGTATCAGCATTGCAAGTAAAGATCATTCTCCTCAGCATTAAAAAAACAAACAAGTGGGGGCCTACCTGGTTCGAGCAGCGAGTAAATAAATGAGGGCATGCTTTCCTTCTACAGTGAGTGAATAAATGAGGACTTACTATGTAGTTGTGTTTCGCTTCTGCCAAGGAGAGACCTTCAAGTTCAAGACATGTTCCAGTTCTTCCACTGCTGTTAACTCCCCTGTACAAACTACCCTTGCTTTTCAGTGGAGGAATTCATATTCCCAGATGCAGCAGGATTGCTAAGCAATATAGCTGTAGCCTGAAATGATGCAAAGGATTTGTGCAGTTAAAGAAACAAAACAGAATTGGCTTGGATGCAAGAGTGATTTATCTTCTTTTGATTTCTTTGAAGTTCGGCTGAGATTTTTCTTTGATTTTTCCACTCAAGTGCAGGCCTGGAAAGTTGAAAACATCCTCCTACCAGTACTAGTCCAGGTAATACATGGTCCAGGATCTGTTGGTGTATATTTACTCTCATAACCTGGAACGAAGAATTTTTTCTCTTTAAATTCAGATGGCTACGCCTGGGATCTGTAACACTTATTAGGTTGTCTCTGAATGCCAGGTGTTGCCTGAGCTTTGCTAGAGTGAATTCTTGAACTGGTGCACACACACTTTCCTGGTGTCACAGAATGGTTATAGAGCGGTTATATTCTACCAAATCCTCCCTTCCCCAGTGCTACTCATTTGTGCGTGTGGGGAAATGGGCTGGGCTGTGTTGTCACCAGCCTGAATGTTGGGGAAACAAATGTTAACGTGTTATGGAGATTGTTTCGATGCCCTGCTCTTGAAACGGTGCTGTGTTCAGCTGTGGAAGCAAGGACAAGGACAGCAACAGCCTAATACTCTGCCACCAGCAGCGAGTTTAGCAGGGGCAAAGTTACAGTCTTTGAAGGCGCTTGTGGTTTCTTCCTCTAGCCAAAATTCACCATTCGGCTTTTTCCCCCCCCTTCGTTAGTCAGGAGCCCTTTAGGCCTGAAGGAATTGCCACACTCATCGGCAAAAGGCTTTTGGCTGTCTGTCCCGGGGTAGTAGTAAGATGTAATGAAGGAAACCCCTTTGTACTTCGATGACAAGCACGTGTTTCTTGGGCCCTTCCCATATACTCCCTTCCTCTGTGAAGCCTCTTCTGTTGCTGGCGTGTGAGGGGAGAGGACGGCAGCGTAGGGGAGCACTGGAAGTGGAGTTTTCTCCAAGTGTCCTGGTAATGGGATGCCTTCAGGAGGCACGGATACCTGTTGGAGCTGACAAGGCTGGTGACAGACAAGGTATTTTGATCTCGTGCCGTTCTTGCTGGCACTGAAATATTTACGAGGTTGACTCTTGGGCTTGTGTGTTACGGCAGCGTTTAATAGCCCTGACGTCCCTGCGCTTTAGCGAGCCTCCTTTACTAACCGGGGGGAGGGGAGGGACCCTTTCCATTTGTATGCTAAGTGTAATCGGGTTTTGGAGTGTAGCTCATGGACAAAACCTTCAGATGAAGTGGCAGACATAATGTTGATGTAAAGCACGACAGCTGCTTTTGTCTGTCATCATCCTGGAAAGGGACTGTCTAACAGAAGATGAAGGTTTCCTTTTGCTGTCACGGCCAGCTCGCTGAATGAGACACAGTCGGAGGTTTGGCTGGTTGAGAAAAAGTAAAGGGCAAAGGAGCTGGGAGTGAAGATAAGGGACAACTCAGTCGGGTGATTTTTCTCCTGCCCATTCTCTTCCTCATCTCTGAAACAGTGAAACTTCTCAAACCTGGTGGTGCAGTGATGAAGCACGCTTCTCGGTGCAAGGCAGCTCTGCCTGCTTCAGGCAGCCTGCTGTGCGCACACGCACGCAGATGGTGCCTTGCTGGCCGAGACTTAGACCTGTACACCGCTCGTTCTTGTTCCGAGTGTTACGACTCGTTTGACGTGCCGTCTTTAAAACACCTGGCAACAAATGCACCGTCAAATATCTTCCATTCACTTGAAGCAGACAGTGTGGAGTTAAATCCGAGTGTTCTTCGCTGCCACTTTAGAACTATGAAGTGTGCATTAGCAACGTATTTTCTTACGCTCTGTTCGTTTCGGTGATGAATCAATTTGTGCATACATGCAGGTACTTACTCTTCAGCTCTGCCGATAGACACTGCTGGCATCACCTACAGTGTGTCTGAGTAACTGTTTTTAGATAACGATCTGCACAACTACAAATAGTTTGTCTTGTTCACTGGTTGCCTTCTGCATATTGCAGAGGGAACTGTGGGACACCCGCGTGCTGGTAGTGGAGAGAGGGCATGGCTTTGGGGTCAGGTGGCAGCTCCGTTCTGGGAAAACTGAGATGCCTGTTCCCTTTTTGCTCCATGTAGTTTAGGACGAGTTTGCTTACAGCAGAGCAAACCTCCCTGGTTCATCTGCCGTGCCGCTCTCGATGGGAAGAACAGCACGGGTTGCTGACTTGTGTTGAGATGCAGCAAGTCAACTGCTGCTTTGTGTGGAGTTTGATCCACTGCAGTCGCTGGTGGTCTTTTTCATTATTTATTTTTATTCTTTTTATTTTTTATTTTTATTATTTTTATTTTTTCATTATTTTTATTCTACTTCCTGAGAGCTGAATTGTCCAAGTCAGGTTCGAATGGAGTTTCAGCTTCATAGTTTACTGGAGCTGGCTGCAGTTTACTGAAAGGTCTAGGCAAAAAGCATAAATCATTCTGTAATCTCATGCTGACATATGGTATGTAAATACCATGATCCACCCAAAGGGTAGCCAGCATTATAAATGTACTTTCTAATCTCCT